TAAGACACCCCTGCCCCATGAACCAACCAACTACAGAAGCTGCCTCCTCAGGTTCTCTTTGAATGTTCTGTCTTACAGTCCTCATAAAAACTGCAAAAGAGATGGGGCCTTCCTGACTTCTACAGAGAAGGCCTGCAAACAGGCAGCAATGGAGCACACCGTGGCAGACCCAAAGTGAGCTTCCTAGCTCAGTAGGGATTTGAATCCAAGTCTCTCCAATCCTAGGCTTGATTTCACCAGAGCATTTCTACAGATGGAACAATTTCCACTAGTGGAGCAAAGCTTTCTCCCCTCCTCCTACCCACTAGAGCCCCAAATACCCCTCCAAAAATGCTGATCCTGCAAGACAGAAGCCCCCCACAACAGCATTTGGGAGGGCCACTTGGGGATGCAATGGAAGGGGGGAAACAAGGAAGTCACATTTTGTGGTTGAAATCCTTCCATCCATGGAAGCACTCCAGTGGATCCAAGCCCTAGTCCAGGACTCTAACAATGATGCCACACTGAATCTCTCACACACTGTATGGTTGGGGCCCATCCTCACTGGAGCCTACACATCTTGAACATGATGGTCATCAAGATGGAGCAGGAGCAGTTCTGATCCAGTCATTGCATCTATAAGTAAACATTTTTGTTTGGACTTGCTATATTCATGACTGAACTGTGACATTCAGATGAAGGGGGAAATGCCGTTTTCTCAGAATAGACGTACATCAGGAGGCTTCCGGTTGACTGGTGCTGGGCGGCGGCTGCTGCTTTATGATCCTCCCTTTTGCAAGTGTTTTTATCTTTTACAAATTGTTTTAACTGGTTATAGAGGCTGGCTGCCCTAAGGAATATTAAGGAAAAGCTTTTATAATTTTGCAATCTCTAAACTGGGATGACATCCAGAAAGAGAAGGAGAGCAGGAGAAGGAGAGGGGGAGGGCTGTGATGAAGCGCTTCAATCTCCGGCAAACAAACAAACGAAAATGAATGATTATTTCTTCAAAGAAAAGGATGTGACTATATCGTATAATGTTCCAGTCTCTAATCAGTTCTCTCCACTGGAGACCTGCCAAGACTCTTCAGTGCTGTTAGAAACGCTGACTGAAGGAATTTATTCATCCAGCCAGGAGTTAGAAAGGCAGACGATCATAACACAACCGGAGACGTCTGTGCCTGACAACTTTGCTACTCTAATGGCTAGAACTGTTGAACTAATCTCTAACCTATCGAAAGATATAATTTCATATAGTAATTTACTGTCTTCAAAGATTGATAATCTAATTAACAAGAAAACTCTGTCAATTTTGTCATCTCCTCCTCCTAGCTGTAACAACGCAGCCAATTTAAAGGCAAAGACTCCTGCTCATTCCAAACTGCCTCCTGCCGTGATTCCTCACTCTCACTTTATTCAAAAGCTCGTTCTCCAACAGAACCAATTGTGTTTTACAGTTTCTCTGTTTAATGGCTGTTTCATCTCCTGGAGAACTAAAAAGGACATCAGCAGGCATTTGTCCTTCCTTTTCAGGACCAAAGTATTGCCTTCGGAGATGACATTTGTTGAACCTCTCAATGGACACTTTCAGGCTCAAAAAATGCTGGTCACTTTTAAATCTTTTGCACTCCCCGCCCTGATATTGAAGCGAAGGAAACAGCTATCTCAAAGGGGTATAGCGGTGACACGAGTATTTATCAACCTCTCTGTTTCTCCTCTGTTTCGCAAAGTTTGCTCACTTAGCAATCCTCCCTCGGACATGAACACAACCTCCAATCTCCATCAGAGGAATTCTGCTAACGTCCCTATCCTGCCAGAGTCACACCCTCATGTCCCCTCCTATTTGGATAACTCTGTGGAGGAGAACCTTATACAGTCTTTTAAAACTTTACCTTCTCAAGACCAAGTGGCCATCACTGACAGACTAGAAGCTTTAAGAATTAAACTTATCGAATCCAAAGAACCTTGTCTCTTGCCGGATTCTCTTCAACAAGCTTCGGACGGGAACAATGCCATGATATGTGAGAACCAACAGGACAACCAGGTTCCTTCCCCTGAACATTCCCAAAGGGAAACTTCTGTTGTCTTACCTTCCAATCCAATGAGCCTAAGCACTGAACCTCCCTGTAAAAATGGATGTGTCTTTATAGACGATGACGGCAAACTTGATCTCATAACTGCTCATTGACTTCCCGGTCCTGGGTCGGTCCCTCCCTTCAATCAATTTTTTTCACTCCTGTCATGGAATATTGCGGGCTGGGCCGGCAAAGCTCTGGATAGGAATTTTACTGACTACTTAACCCAATTTAACATTCTTCTTTTACAGGAAACATGGATGTTATCAGATTTTGATCTCCCTAATTATTTTACATTTTTCTCAGCAGCTCTACCAAGTACCAAAGGGGGAAGACCATCGGGGGGGCTTTGTATTTTAATCGATACAGCCTTAACTGCAGAAGCTACAGAAATCCAGCTCACAGACAATAATGCTCAGGCTGTTCATCTTAAATTTGCTACCTATTCTTTATTGTGTTTTAACTGTTATCTCCCCCCCCAGCGATCCCAGGCACAAATTCGTGCACTTTGGGAGAAGTTGGAATCAAGTATTGACTCCTGTATGCAAAGGTTTCCCAAAGCTATGGTGTTGGTTGGCGGAGATTTAAATGCAAGGATGGGTCCTAATGATGACATGTTATCTTTTAATTATGGTTTTAACTTTGCAGCCAGTGCTCTTCCTTCTTACAAACGTTTTTCTTTAGATCCAGTTGTAAATTACGCTGGTCTATGTCTTGCACAAACGGCCCATAAGCTTGATTTGTATATTCTTAATGGCGCTGTAGAGGGAGACCGCCCGGGTCAATTCACGTTTTGGGCCGGCTCTAAGCATACAACAATTGATTACTTACTGTCTTCACAAGATTTCTTTAGAAGAGTTACGGCTCTATTAGTAGATGCAAGAACTGAAAGTGACCATCTTCCCCTTATATTGAGCTGGCCAAAGGATTTAGACGGCTTTTCTAACAAGCATGTACTCTATCCCGCTCCAGTGCCATCGACTGGCAGACAGAAACGTAAGTGGAATGAGGAGTTAAATGATAAGTTCCTTAAGTGGACTTTGTCAGAGCAAGGGGAAATCTTCTTCAGTAATTTTGTAAATCAAGCAAAGGAAGACCCCTCTCCTCTGACCACATACACCCATTTAACTTCCATACTAACCCCTCTTTTTTCAAGAGAAATCTCTGTGACATATGTAAGGAGATCTTGCTCTAATAGCTGGTTTGATAAGGACTGCAGGCAGGCTAAGGCAAATCTAATTAAGATCTTCAAAGCTTTTCAAAGTACTCCAAATCCTATCCTAGCAGCTGAAATCCAAAAGAAGAAAAAAGAATACAAGGCAATTTTGAGAGCCAAAAAGTTAGCCGACTCTCAAACCAAATGGTTGGCCTTGATCAAAGCTGCTAAGGCAAAAGATAGCAGAGAATTCTGGAAACTGGTTTCGAATTCCAATAGTCAATTCTCCAAGGTATCAGCCAGTAAGATTCCACCAAAACTCTGGGAAAATCACTATTCGACTTTGTTCAGTGCCTATCATTCTGATTTGTTTATTTCCACCCCTCTTGAGAATATCCCCTCCTGGGATCCGGTGTCTGTCCAGGACATTGAACAGCTAATTAATTAACACCTAAGAAGGCCAGTATAACATGTAAATGGTACTTTTAAGCAAACAGCTGTGGTTGATTCTTATTAATAATTTCTGGAATTCAAAATGGTAAGAACAATTAATAGCACGCTCTTTGATACAAAAAAATGAGCTCTAATTCCATAAATGCTTCCATTGTTTAATAGCCAGACACATTAGCTGGCTTGTAAAAAAGTAAATTGCAACCTTCCCCTTACTTGATTAAATTTAATCACTGGAGCTTGTGCTAGCTATTACCTTTCCCAAGTGAATTCCTTTATGTGTTGCAGTTCCTAGACTGTTAACATGCAAACAAAAATGGCAAAGAAACAGTATGTCAAACACAACAGCAGCCATGCTCCTCTTTTAAGTATGCTATTAAAAGCATATTGTCTTCGCTCAGGAATGTCTAATTGAAAAAAGAATTCTGCAGAATTCTTTCAGTTAAAATCAATCAAGCATCGTCATAGCTAGTAAAAATATATGATGCTGTCAGAAAGCAAAGAATGGTATTGTACCCCCTGGTCATTTCCAACGTGATCTTACCTAAGGGCAATATTCCATACAGTGGCAAGGAGAGGGAAGCCCATTTCTTTTCTCACTGTCCTGTCCAGCGCAAGCTGCGCTAAGCCAATGCTTTCTAGATGTGAGTCAACGCACGACCACTGTGGAGAGCTTAAATCATCTTTATTTAACTTCACACGCATTCAGAAGATCATTTACTCCCAATCAAGCTGATAGCTGGGTGGAAAGTTACATCTTGTGATCTAGGTCTGTTCTATAGCCATGGTGAGAAAAGAGATGGGCTTCTCTCTCCTTGCAGTAAGTGAAGATGGACAAAGAAACAGAAAAGAACAATAAAACTCCTATCTTTGTGCCTCTGAGCTCAGGAAATTACTCTTAATGAGCCAGTCAGAGGGAAGCTTCTGGGACCCCTAACTGAGAACTACAATTCCCTGGTGCAACTACTCTTAAAGATACACAGCAGTTTTACTAAACTACAGTTAACGCTGACTGGGGGAAGCGCACACTGTAGTATCTGTACATGGTGATTATATTCCCTTTACCAACCACTTATATCTTCTCTGGAGCTTAAGAACTCATCAATACATCATTCAAGGTTTTTTTCAGTTTCAGAGGATGGGGGCAGAACTCAAAAGACTGATAATATGAAGGGACTAGACAGTTTTTTAATTAACCTAGTTCTAGGTGAGAGTCTGAGAGATGCACAACTTTTCTGAGAATATATGGTTTCCTTTGTGCATTCTCTATGTGAGTTCTGAGTATCTAACTCAGATGGGTGGGGGGATTTGAGCAGCCAGGGGTTTTATGTTTGGTATTCATGACTGGTGTCCCTTGTTCCCAAGAGGAGATCCTGCAGGCAAGCAGTGCACACTGGTGTTCACCTGATGGTTTGCAGCTAGCCTATCTTACCATCAACAGTTCCCTGGTGCCCAGAATGGAACTTCCCCAGTATCTAGGAGGAAATTACCCAACGAGCCGGCACTATCCCTACCCAAAGGTGAGTCCCACTTCCATTCTCCCATGCAAAGAGATGGAAATAGTAGTTACAAGGACATTTATGTGCAGTTCCTAGAGCGTCCAAACAAAGTACCTTGCCTGTGCCTCAGCCTTTATTTTTATTTTTCTTGCATAATTGACCAGAAGCAGGGTTTTTTCAGTGGTGGTGCCTCATCTTTCAAAAAGCCCTCTCCTGCGAAGCTTTTACCCAGGCTTTTAACTAAGGGTTTTACCTACTGGGGATTACCTACAGTATTTTAAACTCCTCATTGTGTGTTTTATGCTGTTAGGACCGGGATGTTTTAATGACAATCACTTTTTTTTAATAATAGTTTTGTTTTATTGTCTTCATTTTAAGCCTCCTTGAGCCAGGTTGCTGGAGCGGTGGCATTTTCCCCCTAAATAAAATAAATAAATCATATTTGTAGAGCCAGCTATTAGATAGAATGCCTTAGCGTTTGTCCCTTCTCATTACCTGATCCTGAAACTCTAGTATCTGGTCATAGCAGTCCAAAGCAGAATCTCTGCAGGCCACAGTGCAAGAATTCCTGAGTTCTCCTATGCTGCTTCTCCCAAACCTCTCTTTGCAGCATCCAGTGCAGCTGTACCAAAATCAGAGCCTTCCTGACCCTGGAGAGAGAACAGCGTCTTCAGGGTTCCTTGCTTCTGTCAGCCGTAATCACTGACATTTCTCCTACTGTGTAGTAGAACCCTCAGTTCCTTAATATTTTATACTTTTAAGGCATTGATGATTTTTGGGTTTGCCCTAGGATCACACAACTTCAGTTCAGAGACCTGTGCAAGATGTTTATATTATATTATTTATTTATTTTATTCATTTATTTTGGTAGATTTATACCCCACCCTCCCCACCGAGGCAGGCTCAGGGTGGCTTACGTAAATATTTGAAACAATTTAAAACCATATACAAATCTAAAGTGCTATACATAAATTTTACATATATGACGGCGAACGATAATCCAGTATTCTCCATAGCAGGCATCAGTTAGTACAAGTACTTAATTGCTCTTCTCAGTAAAGCTGAGTTAAGCCATTCCTCAATCTGTTCATCATATCTGAGTACCCAGAAACATTATAGAGTATGGTTTGCCCACAGCATCCCACCACCTTTCTCACAGCTTGTGTTCACACTGGCATTGTGTGTTGTTTGTACAGCGTTGCTCCCCTAGCACATTCTGATGTGTCCTTAATTTCACTCTGTCGTGACTTTTCCCCCATCCTCTTAGGCTGGCCAGCGCATCCCATCGGTTCACCTTTTAGTGGTGAATCTGTCTGGGCCACTTGGCACCCTGGAGTTGCTTCCTCCTGAATCCTTCCAGGGCAGGTGAGTGGGGGGGGGAGGTGTTAGTGTTGACCAGCTGTGATATTTTCCTGCCCTAAGTCTAAGAAGCAGTGCGATGGTCGAGAGAACTCATTAAAACTTGGCACCCTTGAAAATACGTGATTTCTAAAACGCACAGATTAATAAGGAATAATAAACAGGAATTTGGCAGGAAACAGCACCCTCGTGCATAATCTGTGCAGGGTCCAGAAAGAGCCCAGTAAGATCTTGCCTTTCACCATATCTCTCAATATTTTAATTTATAGTGTTCCATCTATTCAAATGACCAAAATGAATAACAGAAACAAAAATCAATTGACAGCTATCAGTCCCTAAAGACTTGCCTGAATACTTTTTAAAAAAGATTCTTGAATAACTTCATAAATGCCTGCAGGCTGATACATTGACAGGCCTCCCTAAGGAGGGAATTTGAAATAGCAGAACTACAACCAGGAAAACTGAGCTAGGATCTCCCAACAGCACCTTCATGATCAAAGGTGACCCTGAGCTTCTTGAAGGCTGAATACATAGGTGCCCTTGAAAATGCTTTTCAGCACTTCTCCTGTGGCTGAGGTACATATGTGGAAAGCAGAAAGGAAATCCTAAACATGCAAGTACTATTTCTAATTGTGAAAAACAGACTGTTTTATATGTGCTTGTACCAGGCTTGTAATTTATTATTTATTTATTTATTTATCACATTTATACCCCGCTCTCCCCGCTGAAGCAGGCTGTGCAAAAAGGCTAATTTACAATCACATTCCAGCCTTTCTACACTTCACACTACCATGCAATTTTGGTCATAGGATGGGAGAAGAGATGTCCTGGGCTCAGATTATATATAGGGCTTTAGTGGTCAGGCTCAGGAAACATGGACAGCCTACGCCAGACTGGCTATATCTTAATGTCTAACGTGCAGCCTTTAATGTGAGTTTTGGTTAAAAAAAAACCCTTTGCTTTCCACATGCCTTGGTAAACAAAACAAGCTGGAAGCACTCAGTTGCTTAATTCAATGGCGGCTTAATGAGCTTGAATTGGTCCAGCTGAGCATTGAGACCCACCGTGGACACAAGCACACTGACAAAGAAAGAAGTCGTGAGTCTAAATTGGCTCTTACGTTGGTTCTTCCTGGAATATGTTGGTGTAGGAGTGGTCATGTCTTTTCAGTGTAGAAGGGAGGGGTCAGCATCTCCCAAGGCAAGCTGCCTAGGGGCCGGATTCCCTGTCCAGTGAGGTCAATATGATGGGCCCAGAGCCCAGGATGAACAACCTGGCAGTGCAAGATGAAAAGCTTTCTTTAGAGCCCATTTCAGATTTAACGCCAGCAGGGACACTAGCCAGGTTCAAAGCGTCTTTTATGCAACTCTGGCTCTCCCCCCTCCAGTAGCTTGGCTGGGAAGAGTCCTGTGCAATGACTCTAAGATATTTGAGGGTGTTATTTCATTTTGTTTCAGGAGTGGATTCTGCCAAATCAGAAACAGCATAGTTCTTACTTGGCACAGGAATGATACAGTTCAGAGCGGGGCTTGGAGTGACTGCTGCTGCTGTGTGAATGGCTTGGGCAAGGGCTATGTTGGCTGTTTGGATTGCTTCCTGATCCTCCACACCCAATGGCTTTTCTCCTGTTCTGTCCCCAGAGAGTACTACATCACCATGGTAAAATGGGTGGCACAATCCCGGCTGGCTGTGCGATGGTTAAACAGGCCGCAGAACATGTCTGTGTTGAGCTTGTGTGAGGCCACCACAGGGGCCTGCACTGAGGTAAGCAGCAGGCCTTGTGACTCTGAGCCTGGTGGCAAGGTACCAAGGGGAGAGAGGCTGCTTCCACACTTAAGTTGGATAAGTCTGGAATGGACAGTATTAGTTCACCCAATTTTAGAGAATTCAGACGATATTGTCAGCCTAGGGTTGCCAGCTCCTGATTGGGAAACACCTGGAGATTTGAGGGGTGGAGCCTGAAAAGAGCACGGTTTGGGGGGGGGGGGGTGAGGGAATTCAGTAGGGTGTAATGCCACAGAGAGCAACCTCCAAAGCATCCAATTGAACCTGGAGATCAGTTATAATCCCAGGAGATTCTCAGCCACCACATGGAAGGTGGCAACCCTATCCGTCAACCAGTTGTATTCGTCCAGTGTCAGTGGCTGCCTCCACACAGGGATTCCCCCCCCCCCCCCGCATGGCAAAGAAGCCACCCCTCATGAAAGAGGGACGGTGACACCATGCTCATTCCAGGAATGATTCATGGTGGTCTTGGGGCTTTCCCCTTTAACTGGGAGGCAAAAATAAACCTGTTTTCCTCTGGGTTAAAAGGGAATCTGAGTCTGTGTGGCGACTCCTTCCATCACCACTGGGGGGGGGGGAGCAGCAGAACTAAGCTCCATATTCAAAATGACATGCAGCAGTTTGCGGCCCAGGGTGCCAAATCTGGGTTAGTACATTCCTAGAGATGTAGGGGTGGAATTTGGGGATGGGAAGGAGCTCAGGCATGTGATGCCATAGAGTCCACCCTCCAAAGCTGCCATTTCCTCCAGGTTCCTGTGGTCTGGAGATCATTTGTAATTCCAGGAGAACTCCAGGTCCCACCTAAAGGTTGGTAGTCCTGTCACTGCCACATTTTATTTCTCCCCTTTAGTCCTTGAAAGGCTTCCCCCCCCCATTCCCTGCTGAGGCATGCTTTAGCATTACAGCATGGCCTTGTGGGGAAAGAGGGTTTCCAGGCTGCGGGGGGGGGGGTGTCTGATGTGATCACTGTCACGCCTGCACTTTTTGCACAGGTACAGCTGAGGTGTAGCTGCAAGTGGGGTGTAGATGCCTTTCCTGCTCACTCTTGTGTCTCTTGCTGCTACTGCCATGTGGCAAGGGTGTGTTTTCATGCCCTGGTGTGAAAGTCACCTGTGTTGTTTTTTATCTCATGGTTTATGGTGAAATTTTTACTTAATATACAATAGAGGAGAATTTTTATAATCATAATTGAACAACAGAGAAATTAATTAAAAAATGATGATCATGGGACTTGGGGAAAAAAAGAATTACTGAGCACTAAGTTTAGCTGAAAAGAGAAAGGGCACTCATTAAAGCCTTAATGACTGGGAGAAGAAACTGATGGAGGATATACTGCCGGAGTGAACAAGAAGTAATTCGGCAGGGAGAAGCTGGAGAACAAAAGAGGGAAGAAACAGGGCCTTTGCCAAACATGGAGAACTGCTAGATTTTATGCAGAATATACTGTTATATTCACTGCTGTGCTGTGTTTTAATTCCACTTATAAGTAATTGCAGAAAAAGGGTAATTTAAGACAGCCAAAAGTCACGGTGTGGAAGCAACCAATGCAAAGAGAAAAAAGCCACACTGACTAAGTTGTTTCCACAGGTCTGAGCAAAGAGGGCTCCTGGAGGTAAGGCAGAAGGTGCTTAGAGTCTGGAGGACCCCCAGGAATGTATACTTAAGCCCTCTTTGTGCAGGTTATTTGTCCCTTAATAGATCAGCCCTATTCAGGATGAGTGGGTGGATGTCGTCTGCTCTTTCAGAGCATGTCTGACAGTGAAGACATAATAGGCGGTGGTTCATTTTAATGCTTTTATGTCTATCCTCTAGGGGTGAGCACAGGATGCAGTAGTGCGATCTTTTATGTGATGTGCAGTTTGAACCAGAGGCTCTGCTAAAAACCTTGTGTGTTTCCTTTAGAAATACAAAGTGACCTCGGATGCTTGGGTGGACATGCAGGTAACAGACTTGACACCATTTTTGGTTTCTACTGTTGGTAATCCAGGTCAGCTGCATGCTCATATCTTAGAGGAACAAGAAACTTTCTGGTATTAGCATATGTGACCACTTTACACTTTGAAGTGCAAAACACAGGTGTAGTTGTCACATACTTGCAAATATGCACATTATATGGGTACACTAGACAAAGCTGGGATTGGATGCATCTACTCCCTAATGAGCATAACATTTGAATTGTGTACACACATTATAGATAACATACAAACATACTGGATGTACGTGCATACATCTGTTTGTAAGAAAGAACCAACATGTGTTTGCTTTACAAATAAACTGGAGGCCACTACCTGGGTAAATGTGGAGCATAAATCACATGTTTAGCTGTACCTGCACTGAATGCAATGTAAGAATTACAGAATGTACATACGAAGAAAAAAACCATGTACACTATAATGTGCGTATGCATATGTTCACCGTAATGTGTGCTCAGGGCTTGTGTGACAAACCTGGGCTTGTGAAATGGCCTCCTCTGTCCCGGCTGAAAGACTATCTGAGCCCGGTGACAAGAAATGTACTTGCCTTCTTTGTCCTGGGAGACGTATCTGCACTGAATGTCTCTGGGGAGCAGTACTAGCAGGGTAGCATTGGTTACCTTTCTGGAAATCTGGCTGCTATGAAAAGAAGCAACCCCCGTCCCCAGTCAGCTTATTGTGCAAAACAAACCTGTAGATGGAAATGCCCTAGGGTTGCCAACCTCCAGGTTGGACCTGGAAATCTTCCACTATTATAATTGATCTCAGAGGTCATTTCGGGGGGGATCGCAGTTTCCCCGGGTGAGGTACGGGGGGCGGGGCACATGACGAAGCCCCGCCCCCCACTTCCGGCCGCCCAGCTTCCGGCCCTCATTCAGCCAGGAGGAGGCAGGAGAAGAGGGAGGGTAAGTTGCTTCCTCCCTGCCTCTCCCCACCCCTGCCTGCCTGGGGCCAGGGAGGGCCTTGGCGGGGCTTCCTCGCACTCCCACTGGGTGGCCTTATGACACACTTCCGGTGATGTCAGGGGGTGTGGCATATGCTAATGAGTTATGCTAATGAGTCCCCCTAGCTCTTTTTCTACGAAACGACCCCTGATTGATCTCCAGATGACCAAGATCAGTTCCCCTGAAGAGAATGGCTGTTTTGGAGGGTGGGCTCTATGGCATTATATGCTACTTATGTCCCTCCCCACCCCAAACCCTCCCTCCCTAGTCTTCATGCCCAAAATCGCCAGGTATCCCAGCCCAGAGCTGGCAACTCTAATTTAATGCCCCAATTCAGACATGACAGTTGTCATCCAAGGTTAGACTTGAATAGGAGCTGTCATGAAAGGGGGCATCTTTTGCTTATTTTTTTGGAACACTGGTGTCGTCCCAATTTGTTTAAATCCTAAAGGAGAAAAATAGTTCATCAATTGGAAAAGACAACAAAGAGCAAAAAGAATGTCCTTTCCACAGAGAGCCTAGAATAGCCAGAGCTAGGTGTATTTTATACTTAGAAACAGATGAATTCTGTGCCTTGAATCAAGGATACAAATTGAGTATATTTATTTGCTTGCTTATTCTGCATAGTCTATTATTCATTGGGTAGCTGTGTAGAAGGAAAAACTAGAGAAATCCTGCCTACTGGAAGTCAGGTTCAGACTGAGTTTGCCAGCTTGTGATCAAAATGATCTCTATGGCAATACTGACTAGAAACTTATAAACTTGCTTTCTTAAAAAAATTGAAATCTCAGGTTCTCAGGATGCTGGAGGGGGAAAGGCCTGCCCCCCCCCCAAGGATGTTCCAAGTATTCTTCCATAGAATTTTTCACTTACTTTAAACAATAAAACTTTCTAGTCCTTTTACTTACATATTCTCTACCCCATTAGACTTCGACCCATGAAAGTGATCTACTTGAGATCCTGGAGAGCTGGTGGTCAGAAAAACCAAGGGCCTGACTTACAAGGCAGTTTGATAGCTTGTGTGAGGCAGGGTAAACCCCAGCCACATCCCATAAACTGGGATATCCTGCAGTGCAGCCACAGCCTTGTTCTTCTAACAGCAGGGGATGCCAGTCTTTTCTGAAGATGCCGAAACTCTCTTTCTGCCAGTGCCGGTGAAGCAGGGGGCCCGAGGAGAATTCCACCACGTCACCATGCTTTCTACACAGGTAAATCTTAGCCAACTGGTTGATCTAGTAGTCCACTTTTTAAAAGATAAAATTTTCATCTAGAGAGACTACAGACCTGGCAGATCAATTCCCTGTGGGCCAGTCTAAGCCTCCCAGCCCATGCAATGGGCCATGATGAGATATTTTAAATTCTGTTTCCACTCTAGGGTTACCAGCTGTCCAGAAACAAACCCAGCCTTGCTTGCTCCTCTTTCTTTGAAAAAGGTTCAGTGTGCTATGTGGAGGAAGGTAGTGGCAAACCACCTCTGTTAGTCTTTTGCCTTGAAAACCCTGTGAGGTCACCATAACCCGAAAGCAACTTGATGGCACTTATATGCACCCAATATGCAGACATCTTCAGATGAAGCGTTTGGTGGCACAGATTTGCATTTCCAGGTTGTTAAAGGGAGACTACAGGGATTGGTTGGCCATTTGACTCCCACCACAGACACTACCTCCTATATAGGGGGCAGTGCCACAGAGCTCCTGCCACAGCTCTTGGGTTGCTATTTGTTTGCTAATGAGTCTTGTGCGCCTTTCAGATTAGCATTGCAAGCAGAAATTTAACTGGCAAAATGTTTCATGGCATGGGTAGGCTAAGTTGAAGGATGCTTCTGTCTTTCTGCCTATCATATAACTTAAATGCACAGGAGCTCTGCCAGGAAAAACCGTGGAAACCTTTAAGTGTTCTCAACTAGATAGTCCTGAAAAGCATGAGCTGTAGCTGGCAGTATATAAGACGAGTTTTGAGCTGAAAAGACGATTGGATGAAGAGAGCCAGTGTGGTATAGCTCGGAGTGTTTAGGTCTGAATTCCCACTCTGTCATGGAAGCTTGCTGGATGACCTTGGGCCAGTCACTGTTGGCCTAACTTCTTGTTGAGAGGATAAAAACAGAAGGAGAAGAAAATTATGTAAGCCACTTAGGTCCCCATTGGGAAGAAAAACTGGGTATAATGAACCAAATAAATAAGTGATTCCCAGAGAAACTGTACTGTTGAAAGATTATACAGTAGTACGTATTCAGGGACTCTAAGAGTTGAAAGGAATTGACCCCCAGGCATTGTAAATAATTGCTTTGTCTGCTTACTGAATTCATTTATTTAAAAAACGAATGTCCTTCCTCTCCAGAGATGGATTTGTGGCAGCTCACTGCTAAAAGAATGTGTAGAATAGTTGAGTCATGATGACTTAGATCTTTATGAGGCAGAAACCAAAAAGAAAAATATATAATGCAAAGACAGTCAAATCCAAACGATCATTAAGGCCTTCAGGAGGTAACGGGTCTAATGTGGAAATCCAAAAGGCTTCCCTCTGAAACAACAACTTATCAATATTATAAGAGTGATAAGGCCTAGACTGAATCTTCTCAATAACAAAACATTTGAAATCAGTGGGTTGTTGTTTCAGAGAGAGGCCTTTTGGATTTTCACATTAAATACATTACCTCCTAAAGGCCATAGTGATCATTTGTGTGGTGCTGCTCCTTGGGGTGTGGGGGTGCAGGCGAAGCAAAGACGACAGGATACAAGCTTGCAGGAACTGTCTGAAACCTCTCGGCTTCCCAGCGTTTATTTATAAGCTCCGTTTTCCCCCATTTCCTCCCCCCCTCCTCTCTTCCTCCGTCTATCTGCGTAGAGGAAAGTTTCAAGCATTCTAGCATCCTTAAGGAGTGTGTGAGTGTGTGTGTGTGTGTAAGCTCTCTGTTATCTGCCAAGGTCACACTGACTGGTAGGCAATCACCAGACTTCTCATGCTGTTAGCACACAAATACTTCTGGATTCCCAATCTCCAGGCAGGAGAATCCTACAATTTGGATTTGACTGCCTTTGTGTGATATATTTTTCTTTTTGGTTTCACGGCTAAAAGAATACAACAAAACCAAACAGTGCAGGGGGTGAAAACAACATAAAAAAACAAAGAGCAGCCTAAAATAATATCCATAAAACTGTCCCCAAGGGTAGAAGAAGAATGTGAAAACAGCTTAAAAAAAGATGGAACCCCACAGTGATTAAAAAGACAAGTTTCAGCCCCGGTACCTGAAGGACAGGAAAGCGGGTTAGGAGCTAGGCAAGCCTCAAGGGGGAGGATGCTCCAAAGGCAAGGTGCCACCTCTGAAATAGCCCCGTCTGATCAGACAGCCCCCAGTCTTTTTGCTCTTGGAAATGGGATGCTGGGAAAGTGACAGACTGTTCATCATGGAAACTGGGCATGTATGCCATGGCAGGAGGTCTTGCCAGCTTTTGGAAAATGCACCCTGCCATTGTGCCCTTTCATAGAAGCAGACTTCAGCGGGTGAGAATGTTTACCTGCATGCCTGGAAGAGCTTCACCTGCTGATTTTGTATAGATCCAGCTGCTGTTAAAAGCACAAGAGCAAGTCTGGCCAGGGATTTTTCTGGTCATGTGTCAGCTTTTGTTCATTGGGAAAGCAGCTCAGGCATGTTCAGGTCAATGCTCATGTACCTTGAAGCCCCCTCTTCAAGAACAGTCCACACATTCCACCTTGCAGGCTTGCCACCTGTGACTTATTTCAAAGCCCTGTTTCGTGTGAATAGAAATATTCACAGGGTAGATGATATGACCTGAAATTACAAGAACCAATTCTATTAGAAATCACCATCCTTGTAATGTATGAAAGAACTGTTCGTGTTCTGACGCATGCAAGAGGTCATTCCTTTGCAATGTCCTGGCGGGTTCATTGTTCTGGAGTTCTTCAGGTGACAACTCTGCCTTTCTGATTCCTGGTCTGTTTTTGTTTTCCTTTATTGGTCCTTCTTCTAGCCATTGAAGAGCAGCCTGGTATCCAGGCATTTCCTTACGTTACTTGTTTATTCGACTTTATACATAAGGAACCATCATGCACCTGTAAAGTTTAGAAGGTGAAGCTTTTCCTGACATGGCGATGAAACAGTGGGAGCCTGCTTTGGTTCTGCATGGCAGGCACATAGATTTTTTTTTTAAGTAACAGCACTCGTGGGGAAAATGTGTGAGTCTCACCACATTTCCTTTTTCTCTCTTGCCAGCCCAGCCGCAAGGAAAGCAGCGTGCGCCTCCTGACCTCTGGAGACTGGGATGTGATCAGGATCCTGGCCTACCAGGAGCACAACAAGCAGCTGTGAGTCCCTGAAACGAGACAGGGAGGGTTCAGGGTGTAGTGGCAGAGCCTCCGCTGTGCATGCAGGAGGACACGGGTTCAGTGCCTGGCATCATCAGTAACAAGGATCGGGAACCTCCCTTTTCTGCCTTAGGCCCTGGAGAGCTGCTGCCTGTCAGCACAGGCCATGTTGAACCATGGACTGGTGGCCTGACATTAGGCAGTTTCATAGGATCCTTGCCTGTACCAGTTCCTCAACAAGTGGGGGGGGGCAAGAGCGTCTGATTGAATCTCTCCTGATTCTTAGGTACTTCCTAAGTGCCGAAGATGGTCCCTCCACTAGACACTTGTACAGGTGAGTAATACGACCTGCGTGAAACAAATTACATTCTTGCCACAGTGAGCCAGTTAATCATAATAATAATAATAATAATAATACTTCTTTTTATATGGCATATTTCAAGTATTAAATCAGCTCACATGCGTGTTCTCTCCGTTTTTATCTTTGCTTGAAGAGGCTAAGTTATAGGGTTACCAACTACGGATTGGTAAGTTCCAGGATGTTTGGGGACAGTGGTGCTTGGGTAAGAGAGAGAGAGAGAGAGCTCAGCAGGGACGTGATGCCACAGAGCCCACCCTCTGATGCTGCCCTCTTACAGTATGGAGATCAGCTGTAATCCAAAGAGAACCCAAGATCTCCCCAGTCCGATACGCCAACAGTGCAATCCTTGCAAGGATTATGTAGGTTAGATCAGTGTTAGCCTCATTTTGCCTATGCAAGGCTGAGGCCTAAGGCTATCTAGTGAATTCATGGCCGAGGTGAGATTTTTTGGGGTGAGTGTGCAGGGCTATTTTTGGGCACGAACGCACAGGAACGGAGTTCCGGCTGGCTCCCAAGTTGGCCACGCCCAGCAGGAACTCATTAGCATAATAGGCCACACCCAACAGCAGAAACTCATTAGGATTGGCTACATTAGGGGTGTGCGGCCTAACATGCAAAGGAGTTCCTGCTACAAAAAAAGGCCCTGGGTTTTGACAACAAACAAGGTAAACAGAATAAGAAGCAAAAGGTGGGTGTGGCTGGATAACCACACTTCTGGTAACATGGGGGTGCGGCCTAATGTGCTAGTGAGCTGTGCTGTCAGGGGTGTGGCCCAATATGCTAATGAGTTCCTGCTGTTGGGTGTGACCTATTATGCTAATGAGTTCCTGCTGGGCTTTTTCTACAAAAAGACCCCTGGACTGTGTGTGTGTGTTTGCATTTGTGTGTGTGTGTGCACGTGTGCCCATTCCTGGAAGTCATGGCAACCTCTGCCGACTCCTACTGGGTCACGGAGGACGTTCAGAGAAGTGGCTTCTGGCTCTGGCCTCCCGGTCTTGGTATTCTCTGGAGGTCTCCCATCCAAATACCCTGCTTAGCTTCCAGGATCTGATGAGACTGGGCTTGCCAGGGCTATCCAGGTCAGGGCATGGATGAGATGAGATTTGATCACCATCTTTGATGTCTTATTTACATGAGAATGGGCCAAATAATGATTAACCCAACATAGCTATTTTAAAAAAAAAAAAAACCTTCTATCCCACCTTGTCTCCTCAGATTCAAGGTGGTGTACAACTGTTACCAGCAGCTAAAAAGAAATACCAAACGTATCTTCCCCTGCCCACCACATGAAAATCTGAACTGGGCCCTAATCGTCATATGTTAAACTTCAGGCCCTCTGGCCTTTTTGCAATGATAACATGCTGCCACCTAGTACTATTGATAAAGAATGACACCTGAGCAAATCAGAGATTTCTGAATGAAATATGGAAACCCTCATAGGAGGACAATTTTAGATGAAGGTGATCAGGAAAGAAACAATCACAGGGAAGATGGGGATATAGTTTATGGGAAAGAATTCTTCCTCATACCACCTACACCTAGCGTCCACAGGTGGGTTTGTAGTATTATCACTAGGTAAAGTGGCCAGCTTTTCAACTGACTCCTCATAGAATCATAGAGTTGGAAGAGATCTCCAGGGTCATCTAGTCCAACCCCCTGCACAATGCAGGACATTCACAAATACCTCTCACACACACCCATACCCCTAGTGACTGCTGTTCCATGCCCAGAAGATGAGAAAGAACCTCCAGAATCTCCAGCCAAACTGGCCTGGAGAAAAATTGCTTCCTGACCCCAAAGTGGCGATCAGCATTTCCCTGGGCATATAAGAAAGGGCTACAAGAACCTAAGCACTGTAGCACTGTAGCTGTTCTTGTGGTAGGCAGCTTTTGGTAAGAATTGTGTAGGCTGCATTTTAACCTCACAACCATCCTGTGAGGTAGGCTCAGCTGGGAGAGAGTGAATAATAATAATAATAATAATAAATGATATTTCAATTTATTAATCGCTCAATCCTGCAGAGCTGCTGGCTCTGAGCGATTTACAGTTACTCAAATACACACGGGACTAACAATGATTCAAAGGGGTAAGGGAGGACAACATATAAATCTTTAAATCACATACGTTTGCAGCCAACGGGGAGTTTGTTCAGCAGTAAGGTCAGACATGTTCCAACAGCATTTTTCCCTCAGCGTGGTTTGATGTCTTCAGCTTTCTCCAGGACTGCTTCAGTTGCAGCACAGCACTGCCACCGCCTGGCCGGACAGCCCATTACAGGCTTTCTTGATGCCGAAGAGTTCTTTCTAGGCTTTCGATCTTATGCGCTGGACCTTCCGTTTGTCGGCTAACACCTCCCCCACTGGGGGATTTAGTGTGCCCACCCTCTCTAAGGAGTGGTACCCATTTTATCTACTCGCCGAAGCTTTCGAACTGCTGGGTGGATGGCGAGCTGGGGATAAGGCTGGTAGCTCATACCAGCATGGGGCTAGAACTGACAGTAGTTCTGTTCAGCTCAGATGTTTTAACCAGAGGATAAATCCCCTGTGCCACCGCTTAAAAGAGATTACATGTTTTCTAGCCTCTGGACGACTCTGGCTTTTTAACCATTGATAGTAAGGAGACTAGGGCTGAGAAGGCCAGGAAGCTTCCTCCCTCTTAAGGGGCAGGGTGCACGAAGGGTGTCAGAGCAAGAAGAGAGACTCAGTATTTCTCTCTCTCCTTTTTGCTGAATAGCATGGACCTTGTTGGCTCCTTCAGCCGCACCTGTATGACCTGTGGCCTGCGACTGGGCTGCTCCTTCGTAGACATCTCTTTCAGCCCTGGACTGGGACATTTTGTACTGTTCTGCAAAGGTGGGTCTCTACAAGAATACCCACTCATGTTTGCCAAACAAATGGGCACATATATTATTTCTGTAGCATGGGACTCACTCACTCGCATGGTATTAAGGTACTGCTGCAGCAGTTAGAAAGCTGAAATTTGGTACATCTTCAGTACCTTGTTAGGGAAGTCTGAAAATGGGATATATTTAGTTCTGTCTTGTGATATCTGAAATATCAAAGCAGCTTCCTAACAGCAAACTGCATTTTGACACAGAACAAGCCAAAGCTCAAACGAGACAGACTGTTCAGATGGGGTGCTTCCAACAGGTCTTTTGCAGAAAGCTGAGGGATCAGGAATTTAAGTCCGTAAATGTAACAAGCCACATATGCATGGGACTTCACAGAGCCAGTTTGGTGTAGCGGTTAAGTGCGCAGACTCTAATCTGGGAGAACCAGGTTTGATCCCCCACTCCTCCACTTGCACCTGGCTGGATGACCTTGGGCAAATCGTAGTTCTGATAAGAACTGTTCTCGAAAAAGAGCAGTTTCTGTCAAGAGCTCTCTGAGCCCCGCCTACCTCACAGGGTGTCTGTTGTGGGGAGGGGAAAGGGAAAGGAGTTTGTAAGCCGCTCTGAGACACCTTTGGGTAGTGAAGGGCGGGGTATAAATCCAATCTCTTCTCTTCTTCTTCTTCTTCACTTGCTTGTACAAACCTCAGGACTGATTCATACATTACAAAGTTCATGTAAGACTTTGTGCAGCCAGGCTCTGGGAATTAATTCCCAGGCGTGTGTGGGCCCAAGTCAGGTCAGGACTGTAGCATACAAGGAAAATAGGTTTAAGCCTCCCGCACCCCTGCACCCTTGTCCTGACCTGAAACATGCTGTGGAGCTGCTGTTTGCATCTTTGAGGAACTACTGCACACAAGTTTCCCCAGTAGGGAAAAGTGGCCCCTAGGACTCTTTCAGGTTGTGAAGATGGCACGCAGGGCGTGGAAAGACTGAAGCCAATCTCCTTGTGCACTGAGATCATGACTTGAATCAGGTCCCCCATGTGCCTGGGAACTGAGTTCCCAGCATGGAATTTCAGCACACATCTCATCAAAACTCCTTTGGGCAGCCTTGTGTCTACCACATGGACTTTGTAACATGTGACTCAACCCACATGTCAGATTAGAGGAGAAGGAATCTGCAAGGGGACACAGGAATTCGGCCTTCCCCACTTCTCAGGTGGGGACATTTTTTCCCCATCCAGGGCCTTTAATGATGGGGGATGCTGAGAACAGCATTCACCGTGGGAAGAATGGTGCCTGAGGGCATTGATGCCCTTGGAATTCTCTATACCTTTCTCATTCCCTTGCCAGATGTAGCATACCCACCCACTGGAAGGACTGTGAGTTTAGTTGTTTCAGGGCCAAGTGTGAATCTCCAAGTGAGGCATTTTATATCCTTTTCTCCAGACAGGCCAGGAACTGAGCTTTCCCCCCCACCCATTCCACATTGTCTTGTGCCCAGGACTGTTATGTGTCCAGTATGGGTGAGAAGACTAGGCTTCAGGAATTGTTGTAAAGGATGCTAGAACTGGATGCTAGAACTCTGAGCTGGAGAGAAGCTGATGGGGACAGCAGATCAGGCTAAAGGGCTCCTTATTCTGTAAGAACAGGGTGCCAGAAGGCATGTTCTGAATGGCCTGGAGCAGACTGCCCCAGACCCCTGGGGACTTCAGGCGCACTGAATATGACTTCTGCCCAGGGCGTGCACCTTGCCAGTCCCATATTTCACCAGACACAGTGCTGGGTCAGTGAGAACCACAGTGTGGAAAATTGCATTTGGGCTCCCTTGGCCACGCAGCTTGCTCTGGCAAGCTGAAAGAGGTAGCCCCTAGCCCCTTTCCCCCAGGAATCTGGATGCACCAAGAGCGAGATTAAATCACGCTGCAGATCTTTCGGAAAAGTTGTGACCCTGTTCAATCAAGCTCATGTGTTGCATGGTCCTTCCTAGATTCAGGGCATATATCAATGCAAGCTGTGCTGTCTGTAGTACTGGGAGTTTATACTTGCACGTGTATTTTGATGGATATACACTCAGGAACATAGATGCAAATACACCCATGTGTACTGCTGCTATTTACACTTTCATGTTTGAAACAGGGAAATCCCAGTCCTCCTAAGGTTCACAGTCCGTTGTCGGTAAATGATGGAAGAGCACTGGGGGTCTTAAAGCAAGAAAACTGGAAATTGTACCCATCTAAACCCTATCTGCATACAGTTGTGTGTAATTGCTTATGCTGTTCCATCCAGCATAGGCTATATCTGCATTTCCTTCACTCTACAGGACCTGGAGTCCCTCAGGTCTCTCTTCATCATACAGCTGACCCACATGGTAAGTTTGAGACCTAGGAGGTGCTTAATTTTTATCAGAGATGAGCAGATTCTCGCAGGGTCATTTCATTTTGGTTTTACGCTTTTTCCTGTAATCTATTGTATTTTATTAATACTGTCAGCTGCCTTGAGCTCTGTAAGGAAGAAAGGTAGCTAATGAATATTTTAATTAAATAAATAAATAAATAAAATTTAGGGTTCAGTCCTTCTCTGCTTTGGGGGATTTGATCTAAAAATCTTGTGAACTTCAGTGCGGCAGAATCCTAGGATGGAAGAGGGATCCACCCTTTGCCTCCTCCCCCCCCCCCCCCCCCCCCCGTGTCTGATCACTGTGTATTGTTATTTCCAAGCTGAGGTTCTCCTCCTTCTGCACTTCTTAGTGACTCTTTGCACAATTCAATCTGCAAGAACTTCTTCTTTTACAGTCTTAAAACTGTAACATAAACTCTGCATATGATTTAGAGTTCAGTAACCACTCTCAGAAATAATTGTTTTATCCCTTCTGTTTAAAAAAATCTTTAACATATTTGACAAACTTGTTTTTTTATTGGTGAAGACATTAAATTCTGCAGTAATAAAAACCTAAAGAAAAGATATTTTAAAAAGGAAAAGTAGAGAGAGGACAGGAATTTTTTAGACCTCCAAGATAAGGAAGAATTATGTACTACAGAAAAACATACACAGAATTCTTTATGTCTCAATAAAGATATTATTTTATTGTCCCTGAAAAAAGAGACTGCAATGTTAGAAGTCACTGTTAAGACTAGCCTGGAGAATTAATACAATTGTGTAGAGAAGCATTGGCTTTTAAAGACTGGCATCCACAAATAACTTTAGAGGGTAAGTGGGAGGCTTTTCCAACCATTGCCTATCCAGTTGATGTCTGTTTCATTTCCCCCCACCCCAAGACTTTCTTCTCCTGGAAGAGAACCGACTCTTGCAAGATAGCCTTATGCATAAGGAGACACCCCTAGTAGAACTCCGGACCCTCCGCTTAGCAAGCTATGGTAAGTGTGCCACAGTGTGTGTCCCCCAAGCTGGCTGACCCAAACTCTTCAGCTGCCTGGGAAGGGCCTGGCTTGGTATGGTTGGGGGGCAGTTTCTGGTGGAGTTTGGAGCCATGGGGATTTGGTTTAAATTGTGGCTGAACTGGTGGTGGATCTGTTTTGTAGCGATCTAAACAAGGCCAAGGATCGTCAAGGACCTTTAATCAGTTGCATAGACAAGGAGAATGTTTGGTGCTGTTTCTCCCATTAAGGAGCTGGTGTGTGAGAAAACAACTGAGATTCTTCATCCTATGACACTATCGAAGGCACAGAAACCCTGTTCCAGGCTGAATCTGGCAACCT